CCTAGGGTGTGTCATTCCATTTCTGACCAGAAAATTACCCAGAGCACAAACCTAGTGTCAACAGAATGAAGAAACATTCAAAGTCTTTCTAGGAAGTGGAACCCAGTGTCTTAGGCAGTTTAAAAATATTCTGGGAACAATCTGCTACTCCCAAGAGTGTGCCCACAGGAAGGGAGAACAGGTTGGGCCAGGCCCAGGAATCAAAGAACTTAACAATAACCTGGTTTTGTGTAAATTGAAGGAAATAGAAACATAATGAGTAATTGGTAACTAAAAAAAAAAAAAAATAATAGTGACCTCGAATACACCCCCATTTCCTGAAGTTACAGTGAACTCCTCATGAGTTTTTACATACTCCTTCCTCATCTCCTATCTCTCCTTACCAGGCTCCCTTCTAATCTGGCATGCTTTGGACAAAACACAGCTGGTTTCGCCTCCCTTTCAGTGCTCTTCCCTAACCCTAGTCAGCAAGGAGGGGCCTGGGGATGTAACTCAATTGGTAAAACAGTTGCCTAACAAGTAGGAAGTCCTGGGCTTGGTCATCATCATTGCATAAAAACTTGCATGGAAACGCAAGTCTATGATCACAGCCCTCTGGAGTTGCTGGCAGATGTACCAAGGTCACCTTTAGCTACATGAAACTGTATCAAAGCCAAACTGGGGCTGGGGTGATGGTTCTCCTGCTGTGATGTGAGTGATGGTTTTCCGCCTGTGGTCTGGCAGCTCTTGCAGGGGACTTGGGGTTGTTACAGAAGACCCAATGGCCTCTTTGGCTTCCATGGGCCCTGTACAAATTTGGTGCACAAGCAAAACACCCATACAGACAAAATTAAAACAAAACAGCAGCAACAAAACAAAACCCTGTACACCCACCCAGCCCTTCAGCCCACCCCTCCTCTTCTTTGTTCTCTTTTTCTTCAGGACCAACACCTTCTAATGCACCAAATGCTTCATTTACGTGGTTTTCTGTTTCTATAAGTAAGAGGATTAGCTGTTTTCTTTGCTACTGTGTCCCAGGTGCTTAGGGCCACGCCTGTTTTCTGGCAGTGCTGGATGTTTAGGGAATGACTATCAGTGAATTCAGACTCAGTTCACAGGCTGGGCTGGCTGGGCTCCAGTAGAGGTCTGTCTAGCACAGCCCTTGCTGGGTGTTTCAATCTGAGGAGGCATTTCACACAATTCTTTCAGTGAGTCTGTCACTGGCTTTGTTCTCTAAGCTGGCATCATCAGATTACCTACATAGTGTAATGTCAGAAGGGAGTGTAACGGAGCCCTTGGTATTGCTGTAAACTGAACCGAAGACTGTTGGTTTTATACTCGACAAAATGAAAGTACTAGGTTGCTTACGATTTTCACTTCCTTTTTGTCCCCCCAGGAAGTTTTATATGGCATCACTAGCTTACATTTTACGATTGAAATATTTTGATAAAAGCTTTGCTTTCCCCCCAAAAACGTCTTATTAATGGTTCCATGGGTTTATCGTTTCTTTCCACTTTTCTACATTTTCTTCAATAATCTGATAATGCTTTAAAAAAGACCTTTCTACATCTATGAAATCTACACAGCTCCTCGAAAGGCAGAGGACCCATTTTAGAGTTACATCCTTATATTCTTATTTCTTGCAGGGGTGGGGGGGGAGGGGGAGTCTATTGCTTGGGCAATGGGTGATCCGGGGAAATGTGAGAAGGACCTGGGATTAGACAAGACGACTTTCTCATGTAAGGTTCTGAAGCTATTCTCAAAAGCCTCAGTGGATTTGACTTTGCAATCCAGGCAGACAATGGACAATGGGCCCACAGGCTCCTGAGAGGCCTCCGTAGTGCATGCAATGCTCTCTTTGCCATCCAAGAAGGTGGCGTGGGGGTCACGTTAGCTGAAACGGAAATAGGACAGCCACGGCCACTTAGGAGGTGTTCAGGACCAGAAGTTCCAGTGAGATTATGAAAAGTCACATGCTGTACAAAACTGTTTCAGACACACTGCAGAAGACTGGGCAGACATTTGGGGGTGGCGTTTCAGATTAGCTGGGCCTGAAGTTTTCTGAAGGGAAAGATATTTGAACATTTACAATGAGTTGTGTGGCTCAGAAAAATCACCACCTTTCTCACACCCTTTGAGCTGTGGTTCTCAACCCGTGGGTCAAGATCTCCCTGGGGTCAAACGACCCTTTCACACGGGTCACCTAAGAACCTTGGGAAACACAGGTGTTCACATTATGATTCTTAACAGTAGCAAAATTATAGTTGTGAAGAAGCAATGAAAATAATTTTATGGTTGGGGAATCACCACGACATGAGGAACTGTATTAAAGAATCCCAGCATTAAGAAGGTTGAGAACCCCTGCTGTATAGCAATGGAAACCCTTTGTCCTTACTTGCCTCATAGTTACCCAGAAGCTCAAATGGATATACAGGGGAAAGTATGGTGTGTGTTAAAACCTGATTTGGTCAGGCCTCCTGGAGTCTAAAGTACCATGAACACATCTTCCTAAGAGACTCATGATATAATAATAATAATAATAATAATAATAATAATAATAATAATAATCTTACCTTAGGTAAGCTAGCAAGATTATTCTATTCTTTTTAAGGTTACCAAAACAGAAACATGTCCTTTGGTGGAAAACCCACATCTCCTTCTGCAAAGAATCAGGCATTACGTTCCTGGAAATTCTATACTGCTTTGTGTAATTCATAATGTTTTTTGTTTCAAAAAATGTAGGCCACAAATTCAGGAAGTCAAAATCTTTAATGTAATTGTGACTGCAGCCAGGAATGTTTATGTAAATCATATTGAAATCCTCAAAGAAATCAACCCCATGGCTCTTCAAAGGGTAGTTTGTTCAACCCACAAGTAGAGAAGTTAGCAGTAGACTTATTTCTTAAAGTTTTTTTTTCTTCTTCCCCCACCTCCTCCGCATGGCAGTGCCAAGTGAAATACAACCCAGGCAACCCTTGTCAAAGAGGTCAAGGAAGGTAGCTTTTTTAATATTGTCAACACGACAAAGATCCATGTACAAAAACTTTTTAATGATTATTCATGTAAGTGGATTTATAGAGACAGAAAAAAAAAATCCCACATTTTCTTTACCAAGCAATCAAGCAAAACACAGTAGTACTACTAGCTGCAAAGCCTTGGTATCAAGAGCTGAGAGAGCATTAAGACAACATTGCCACCTGGAGGATCCTGGTGGAATTGCAGAGCAATAAACGAAAGAAACGAGAGAGCAACAGAAACAAGAATGAAGGGCCTTCATATCATGGCTCTGAACTCTATTTCAAGCTTTCAGTCGATGACTTGCATTGTTATTGAGAAACTTAAAAACTGAAATTGCAGCCCTGACTTCTTTAAGAACTTTAAAACTAGTTCATTAGAATTGGTGAGGTGTGGGCGCAGGCTGTATTCCCAGCTCCTTGGCTGAGATGGGAGAATCAGGGAGAAACAGGCACCCCCAAATGCATCCTGTTGGCCCCTCTTCTTGAACTAAATATGAATATATATATATATATATATATATATATATCTAACTCTTGAGAAAATGTAAAGGACTGGCAGTTTAATTGATCAGAGGCATTTACGTGTTAACGGGTTGAAAGTTTTAATTAAAAGAGAAGTGGTGACAAGAGAACCAGATATCCATCAGATAACCAGATATCAGAGAACAAGATAACCATCTCATACTACCTTTCTTTCACATTATGCTGACTTTGGGGGGTGGCAATCTCACTGTAAATCAATAGGCATTCATACTCCTTTCTACAAGTCTTAGTGGTTACTTTTAAACTCACCAGGTCTTTTCCATACTGAAAGATTCATTTTAATGGCTGTTCAAAAAGGAGTCGGAAGAGTTAAAAAAAAAAACCACCCCTATTTACATTATTCTAACTAGGATACTGATAATTTCAGGGAAGATCACAGTCCCCCACCTCAATGCCTCCCAAATACTGTTATACCAAGGAACTCTTGGTTAGCATGTTGGAGGTCTTGGGCTCAAGTCCCAACTCCACAGAAATCACGTTTCTCTTATCAATTTCCAAGTCATGTCAGTGATATTTGTATAATTAAACCAAAAAATTGAATGCCACTATCTCACTCTTTACATATATGGTGTCATGGACCCACCAGTGACAGAATTCAACTCGGCACTGGCCTGCAGGTGCACGGAAGAGCACTAGATCTCTGTTCACAAGGCTTACAGTGCTGCCTCACACCTTTAATCCTGACGCTAGGCAGAGACAGGTTTATTCTGGTCTGCATAATGATTTCTAGGTCAGCCAGAATGACAGAGGGAGATCTTATCTCAAAACAGAAAGAGAAGAGCTGGGCGGTGGTGATGCATGCCTTTAATCCCAGCACTAGGGAGTTAGAGACAGGTGGAGCTCCATGAATTTGAGGCCAGCCTGGTCTGCTGAGTGAGTTCCAGGACAGCCTCCAAAGCTACAGAGAAAGTCTGTCTCAGGAGGAGGAGGAGGAGGAGGAGGAGGAGGAGGAGGAGGAGAAGAAGAAGAAGAAGAAGAAGAAGAAGAAGAAGAAGAAGAAGGGATTAAACCTCTGTTCACAAACAACCATTACAGTTACAGTCAAGAACATCCCTTTCTCACTTTTCACACCAGCTTTTAAAAGAATACCTTCTTTGAATCCACAACAGCAAGAAATTCTAACACTTTCCTGTTCCCATTTTAAACAGACACTTTTCTTGTATCATTTCCATGACCTCCCCACCCTGACCACTGGCCATTATCTTTTGTTCAGTTCAAACCAGTTCAATTTTGCTAACATTCCTTGCCATGAACTTGCCCTAGACAACCGGAAGCTTGTGTAGACACTTGGCTAGCATAGAAGTTCAGATTCTTGACCATGAAGGAACCCACGTAGTAAAACAATGCAACAGACACATCCTTTCTTGCTTTAAAGGTGGTAGGGAAGTTTCAGTTGACCCTGCCCCCCAAATATAGATTAATAGTAATTAAACAAGTCACTCTAGCTTTCTGCGGTTCCTCTTTTTTTTTTCTTCTTGTCTCAATAACCCAAAACATAAAATTCCACAGAGGCATATATTAAATAAAATGTTTAGACATTCCCATAATAAGGCACAAAACTCACAAATCTCTTACAGAAAGATTAAAACAACAACAACAACAAAAGTTTAAAGACTAGCAAGTAACTTAATAGTGGAGGAGATTCATCACGCTGGAGTTGAGACAGGTCACTTCCCTTTTTAGTACGGAGAGACCTTATACTGAGAGGAAACACAGCCTGTGAGGAGAGGGCATCTCAGCTCTTCCTGGACCACAGCCTCCTTCACTGGATTAATGCAGAAATCAATCCTCAGAGAGAGCTGTGTGGCCAGAACCTATCAGCTGCAAGCACCGCCCATCTCACAGGGGCTGCACAGAGCAATATTACAAACAGTGCATTTGGCCATCAGGTGCCTCATTCTTACTCAAAGGACCTTCAGGGGCCAACCACAGTGAGCACATATTTATCTGTCCTAGGACCTGTTTAAGGTTTCTTCTCCAACTTGAGGCAGAACTACCTGTTTGTGGACCCCAGATTGGGGTAGCTGTGTTGGTCCTTCATGGGCCAGCATCTAACAGAAATTTGAACCTTGGGTCTTAGGTTCCTCTTGAAATAATCAGATCCTTCGAGCAACTTTAGAGCCAAGATTTTAGAAGAGTCTGTTCAAACCTTCAGATAATCTGCCTGCAAGACAACCCTAAATAGCTCACAGTTAATACTGCACTGCACACAGACAAACTAGAAGGTCCCCATGGGCAAAAGACAGACAGTGTATCCATGTTTGCTGGCTGGGTCTCCTGGTAGCTCTTGGCACTGTTGCATTTTCTGATGTTTCTGTATGACCTGAAAAATCAGCTTCCTGAATGTTCATATGGCTCCAAGCATTTCCTGGAAGTGTAATAGCTTTGGAATTCTTTATATTACCATGCAGACTAGGGATGGGAATAGTACTTCAGGCAAATCAGCCAGCTAGTTGGTTATCCTGAGAAAGGGGCCAGTGTCTCAGTGGATGAGACCAGATATCAGATAAATTGAATACTCCATTCTGTCTAAGGGTTTCAATGGATCTTCTTGAAAATTCTGACATTTCCACCCTAGACGCTCTGAAATCCTAGTAAGATCAGAGTCCATGGGCCAGTTTCCTCAGTTACCAAGACCAGCAGCATAGGGTGGCTGTTCTATTAGGGTGCAGAACACCCGTCATTCACTTGGCAGTCCAATTTGCTTATCCATCCAGCTGAGGACTCAGCTTTGGAAGCCACACCCAGAATTCTTCTAAGTGTTCATGGGTGAGAATGGTTTTCTTTAGTTTGGGATCTTATGAATCTTAGCTGGGATCCTTTCTCATGCAAGGCTACAACCCAGACAGAAAATGGATATTCCTTTTTAAAACTCCCAAATGCCTTGCATATGAAATTTTATAGACATACCATGCCCTTAAAATTATGTAATAATTTTTTTAAACAAGGTATTTTGTATCAAAGGCTAGCCCTGAACTCACTATGTATCCCAGGATGCCCTAGAACTTCTGATCCTCCTGCCTCTACCTCCTTTGAGTGCTGCTACTGGTTTGTGTGGTGCTGGGGATCGAACCCTGGGCTTCCTGCATGCTATGTAGCACTCTCTACCAATCGAGTTTCACCCCCAGCCTATAATACATATTAATTTAAAAATCAAGCCTTAAAAATAAAAGGTCTATTTCTATTATTGGGTCAAGTTTCCTCCAAATCACAGTAGCGTATCTCTACACCTTTCCTCATTGGCAGACCTCAGGAATCTTTCTTAATCAGTCTGGCCTTGACTTTGTGTCTCAGGAGGGAGGCGGTGGCCGCGCTGCAGGCAGCTAAAAAGAAAAAGGAGAGGCAGGCAGTGTAGACGGACAGGGGGCCGTGGCGCTGCAGAAAGATCTCATGCCGTCCCTGGTAGTCTAGAAGAATGGCCTCCAGCTGGGAGAGCGTGCAGATGGAAAGGAAGGCATGGAAGATTTGATGTCCATGGCCCACAATGTCACAGGAACCAGGGAAGTACTTCTCGGGTACCGGGCAGGAGAAAAAGTAGGCGCTGACAAGGAAGAAGAGGATCTGGAGGGTGTGGTACCAGGCTGCCTGCTCTTGGCAACCAGCCAGATGGCAGAGAGCCACCCGGTGGGCCACGGGGCTGATGTCTAGGATGAAGGCTAGCCCTGCCGGTACCACTTGACAGATCTTCCGCATAACTGGATAAGGCCTTCGGTAGCGATACTTGGCATAGCAACAGCCAGCACAGGATAGCCAACCACAGAAAGCGGCTGCTGGCAGGAAGAAAAGCCAGAACCGCTCGTACCAGGCCTGGTCTGAGCTGTAGAAAAAGTGAGCCAGCGCGCTGCCATACTGGTAGACGCTGACCCCGACGTAGTCCACAAAGTAAAAGGTGTAGTGCGACAGCTCTGACTTGGATTGCAGAAGGTGCGCCAAAAGGCTGCAGGTGAGGTAAGTAATGGAGGATAGGATGAAGAGGAGCAGGGGTAGGGTGTGGGGAGAGGCCCACTGCAATGCCCCAGCCTCCGCAAAGGCCCAGAATCGCAACAGGACGGCTAGGGCTGCCAGCAAGTGGGTCCAGACGTTGACCACCTCGTTGTGCTTCTGAAAGAGGCTGAAGAAGTAGTAGCGCCACTCGTGCCCCGTGGGGCGGTAGCCTGCGTGGATGTAAGGCTCCCTGAAGAGCTGGGGCACGTCGGTTTCTGGGACAGTGCACGGCATCTTGGGAAGCCCTTCTTCCAGAATCTTGGGCAGACGGCGCAGCTGCTGCCCGCTCACAGACAGGGTGCTCAGGCGTTCCAGGATGGCAGTCGTCATGGCAGCGGTGGGCCGGGCTCCACAGGACTCAGGAGAACAGAAAACCTGGAAGGAAAGAGAGGAAAACTGAAGCAAACGCAGCCAAGGTGGCCAAGGAGCTATTCATATGGGAGCATGAGTTGCTCAGACAATGTGGGAAGCTAGGAGGTCCAGATGGATCCTTCGCACCTCGCTTTCTTTATCTGTACTGTAGAACTGCAGCATCATCCCTTCCGGTGACAACATTCTGAGGCATCTCTTGTGTAATGGCCATGTTAGCCTAGCACGACTTAGTGGCAAGATTTAACGATGCCTAGAAGGAACGCTTAAAGGTCACTATATTTCCTAGATATTACTAAAATGTAATCATCAGATGTCCTTAGATTATTAAATAGGTTGAAATAAAAGGATACATTTTAGCTGGGCACGGTAGCACATGCCTGTAATCCCAGTACTCTGAAGACTGAGGCAGGAGGCTGTCAGTTGGAGGCCAGTCTGCACTCCTCAGTGAGTTCAAAGCCAACCTGTGCTGTACAACAGTGCTTATTGATAAATAGATAGATAGATACATAAATAAACAAGTACATAAGGAGTCATTTATTTAGCCAGCTAATCTTGAACTAGCCACTAATCTTACTGGAAACTTTAAAATCCAACGTAACCAATTGGCTGAAACTCAAATTAAAGGCAGATTATTTGTAAATGAGATCTGGAAAGAGCAGTGCACACTGCGGGATATCTTAGCAGTGTGAAGCTACCATCCCTTGAAAACGGGCATTTTGGCTCTAGGCTCATTACTACAGTGCTGCCACAAGTGGATCAGTTCCAGAAGCGCGGGCACATGGAGCCCTCTGCTGGCTGACGGTGGAAACACAGCTTAGCCTTTACTTGTTTTCTTGCTCATCATTTTCTTTCTTATTTACAAACAAAACAAAAACACTTTATTTGGTTTTTTTATCTGTGTGTGTGTGTGTGTGTGTGTGTGTGTGTGTGCGCGCACACACACACACACTTGCATGCCATGGCACATGTATAGAGGTTAGAGGATAACTTTCGGAGTTCCTTCTTCCATCACGTGGGGTCCCGGGATCAAGTCCATGTTGTCAGGTTTGTAATGAGGTGCCTTTACCCGCTAAACCACCCTAACAGCCCCTCAAATGACCATTTTCTTAGTCCCACACTCTCTCTTGCTGATCAACACTGTAATATTTATTTATTTATTTTACCGTTAATGCCTATGTCAAGCCTTCATTCAACAGAGGAATTAAAAACACGGCTTAACTATAACTAAAGCCTACTTGCAAAGATGGCTCTATTTTTCTTCAGATAGCTATCAAGAAAGCAAGAGGCTCCCCAGGACAACTACATCTGTGTGTGATGAATTTCAGGCCTCTGAAATGCTTGCTTTACACTTAGGATTTCTAGGTGTTGATAAGCCAGATGCCCACAAGATTTACTTTATACAATCGATGAATTTTCATGTGCACTCACTGAGTAAATTGTGTTTTAATACACAGGTGTTTTCTGTGTCTTTTATATTCTAAGCTTTTTTTCTGAAGAAAATTAAAATTCTTGTTTTATCGAAAGGTCTTCAACCAAAGGGGATACAACAAGTGCTGTTCAGGAAATATAGTCTCTGAACTTCACTTTTTAAAAAATTTTTCCCTTTGGTTTTTTGTTTGTTTCTTTGTTTGTTTGAGACAGGGTTTCTCTGTGTGACCATAGTTGTCCTGGAACTGACTCTGCAGAACAGGCTGGCCTCGAACTCACAGAGATATGCCTGCCTCTGCTTCCCAGGTGCTGGGATTAAAGGTGTGTGCCATCACTGCCTGGCTGACACCAACTGCTGCCCAGGTAATTTCACATTTCTTTTTTTCTTTTTCTTTCTTTTTAATGATTCCTTTTTATTTGTATGTGTATTGGTGTTTTCCCTGCATGTATGTCTGTATGAGGGTGTCAGATCCCCTGGAACTGGAGTTCCAGATAGTTATGAGCGGCCATGTGGGTGCTGGGAATTGAACTCATGACCTCTGGAAGAGCAGCCAGTGCTCTTAACCTCTGAGCCATCTCTCCAGCCTAACTTCACATTTCTTAATGCTGAAAGAAAAGTATTTAATCAGGTTAAAAATGTCAGGAATGAAAAGAATAAAAGTGTGAAAGAAGCCAGGAGGTAGTGCCTCAGGCCCTTAATCCCAGCCCTTGGCAGAGGCAGACGGATCTCTGTGAGTTCGAGACCAGCCTGGTCTACAGAGCAAGCTCCAGGATAGGGCTATATAAAGAAACCCTGTATTGAAAAAACAAAGCAAAAACAAAAACAAAATAAAGAAATAAATAAATAAAAGGAAAGGGAAAAGGTGAAGGAAGTTTGGGAAAACCTAGAGCCAAACCCTGGTTTTGCTGCTTCCCGAATGGTCAGCTAGAACTTCACAGGTCTCTGACTCAGTCTCTTCACATATAAAACAGTTGTCTGGTTTGGGATAATGACCAGAAAATGCTAGGTAGTTCTGGGCTAGGCTCTATGTAGTAGGGATGTGATGATCAAAAAAGGTAGTCTACTTGCCTTTGTAGAGATTAAGGTCTGTAGTGTTACTGGGTAGAAAGATACATAGTGGGATTATGACAGAAAAGTGCAGTCCATGCTTCAGCTGAGGCGCGCGATGACCCACGGGGTCTCTGCAAGCAAGAGGAGTGGATTGGGAGATAGGCTACTTCAAATGCTTCAGTCAGGACTTGAGGAATTCCTGAAAAACAAACACATGAAACAACACATAAGACTTCAGACGGGAGAACAAATTATTTACTTTATAATTTTATTACATTTTATATGTGTGAATGCTTTCTGTGGATTTTCCTTATGTGTAGCCCGCAAGCACGTGTATGCATACCACATGTGTGCCTGGTGCCAGCAGAGTTCAGAAGAGCATGTGGCTCTCCTGGAACTGGAGTTGCAGGCGGGTGTGAACCACCCTATGGGAACCAGGGACTGAACCTGAATCTTCTGCAAGAGCATCAAGCTATCTCTTCAGCCTCTACTTTCATTCATGAGATGGGTTGTGCTCTGTAACACAGGCTAGCCTTTGAACACATGAAACTCTTACTTTAGCCTTCCAAGTATGGGATGCCACCATGTCCTGCAACTCAAAAAGCTTTTGTTTAGTCACAAAATTAGAAGACCCAGGTTCTGAGTGAAGACCATGTATGACAGTGGCACCAGAGAGACCTGGAACTCCAGTCTTGAGCACTGCAGTTCTCCAGTCATGTGCCTCTAGCCTGTGCTCTGTCTGTGAAATAGTGAATGAGAAGCTGTCTCACATTGACGTAGGATCTCCAAGACACAGAGCCTGTGAGGTACTTTAACAAAATGTCTGGTTCTAAATCCAAAAACTCATTTGCCATAATTACTGTCATAACTTACTTGAGACACAAGAATGGTTTGTGAGTGCCTTGTTCCTCTATCACAGCACCCATCACCCCGTACTGACACATTCACTCAGCCAGTGCCAAAACAGTAGAATCTTACCAGGAATAGGCTCGGAAATAAGACTCAACATAGGACTTGAAGGCACCAAGAAAGAAGCAATAAGGATGACAGAATCAACCAGATAGAGAAGAAGAAAAAGACGGGGCTGGTTGGTGCCTCCACTGCTAGGCCAGCGGAGATCAGTGCCTGGACTTCTGCATTAGGCTTAAAGGGCACCTACAGGAACAAGCCTAGGGGGTGGGATGACTTTTTAATATGCTCCGTTGCTGTCAGCAACATCTTTTCTGGAGATGCTTTGCTTTGTGGAACTCTGCTATTCATTCACAAGCTCCTGTGGTATCTCTTGTAAGACAGGTAAAAAAATGAGACGAGGGGGCTGGAGAGATGGCTAGCATTCAAGAGCTTGCTGCTCTTTCAGAGAACCTGAGTTAGCTCCCAATGCCCTCCTCAGGGGACTCATGACTTTCTCCAACACCAGTTCTAGGGGATCTGGTACATTCTTCTGGCCTCTGTGGCCCCCCTGCACACATGCCTCTGCACACACATAAGAATACATTAAAATAACTATTTTAAAAACAGAAATGTGTAGGGGAAGCTGTAGCCACTCCTTCTTAGGGGCTGGCTACAAGAGTACCTGAGGGCTTGTGAGGGCGTGGTCAGAGTGAGTAGGGGGACTGCGTTTTTGCTTTCGGTCTCTCTCTTTGCTTCTTGCTGTACAGATTACCACCGGCTGGCTGGTTCGCTCTGTAAGTAAGGCTTTTCCCTATTAAATACCCTTATATTTCTACCTGACTCCGTATTGGTAATTACCTACTATAGAAATGAAATGACTACCATTCCAGTTTATGATTGGGAGAAGGTGTGAAATTGTGCAAAGACACTTCCCAATAGGCTTCATATGGATATCTTCAATATAAGGACGTTGAGATATCATGTTGAGATACGCATATCAATCCCATACAGTTCTGTACCCAGAATTAAATGATACACTACTGCACAAATCCATCCTTATCTTCCTTTCCTTTGGGACAGGGTATCTATTCAGTGGGTTCCCATGACCCAGTGACAACAGAATTTTTAAAGACTAAAACTCTATCTAGGGTTTGGCTAATGGATGGAATGAAACATAATTCAGTTCTGGGGACTAAGATTGTCTTTCTGTTCTGAGAGAAAAGATGGAGTGTGATGCTGTCTTCTCTCTCTCTCTCTCTCTCTCTCTCTCTCTCTCTCTCTCTCTCTCTCTCCAGGCTTTCTCTGTGTAGCTTTGGAGCCTGTCCTGAAACTTGCTCTTGTAGACCAGGCTGGTCTTAAATTCACAGAGATCCGCCTGCCTCTGCCTCCCAAGTGCTGGGATTAAAGGCATGCGCCACCACTGCCCAGGTTGATGCTGTCCTCTTGCTGGTCTTCAAACAGCTATGGCTGCTGAGCCATTACAGTTCCTCCAGTCTTCCTACTTCTCATGCCCTTCTTGACTGTATGTTGAATTTCTACTAAGACTGAGTATTTCTACTTAGCTCTCACAGAAAACAAACTAGGAAGAAGTTTATAGAACTAAGAAGCAGAAAGGAGTATGATGGCATATTAATTTTAACTTCAAAGGAAATCACACACACACACAAGCACACACAGCAGAATCGCCATTCTCTTTGCAAACTAGATGTTTAAAATGCAGCCATGCCAGTCTTTGAATCTCCTTCATAACTCCGAGAGTGTTGTATAACCTGACACTGGATCCTGGTAGTCCAGGAATACAGCCATCACTACCTCCAACCCACAACATGATTCCTTATCTGGCCCATTAATTCAGGGATCCCCGGGATTGGATTGAGTCCTCTTTCTAAGGATGAGAAAGGCTTGCATTTCCTTTGGGAGTTCAGGGGCATGAAATTTCAAACCTGCCAGAAAGACAGAGTGCTATCTCTCTGTTCTTTCCTTAGTAACTACCTCTTTACCTGATATAAAATTCTCCCTTTGAGAGTAACCAACAAAACCACAATCATATTTGGCACTTAAGGCAGTTGTGCTAAAAATCATTGACCCCTCATTTGGGCCTATAAAGAAACAAATTGCAAGGTGAACGCCTGCCATTGCTGCCTTCATGTTAGATCTGTCATCTTTACTTTGGGACAGTCTCCCGCCTGAGTCTCTATGAGCATGTTAATCACTCGGGTGTCTGAGTTAGTTCAAAGCAGGGATTGTTTACCACAGAGGTTTCCATATATAAACTAGTATATGAAAGACGCTTATTAATTATTTACTGAATAGATTGTAAAGGGGGAAGAAGAACTACTGAGTTGGTAGTCAGGAAGTCTGGCTGCCGGTGTTTGTTGTACTCAGTTAATTATGTGCCCCTGCCCAAGACACTGAACTATTCAATGTGACTGCCTACTAACATGGTAGGTAAGAGGAGGTGACTTCCTCTTTGGGCACATCTCAGGAAAATAATAAATAACAGTAAAGTGGGCAGAAGTGGATACTGCTTTCAAAAGATAAGGTATTAATATTCTGGTAGTATCTGGAATAAAGAACCACCACTTGGCTGGGTATTGGTGGTACACACGCCTTTAATCCCAGCACTCAGGAGTCAGAGGCAGGCGGATGTCTATGAGTTCAAGGTCAGCCTGGTTCTACAGAATGAGTTCCAGGACAACCTCCAAAGCTACACAGAGAAACCCTGTCTCAAAAAAACAAAACAACAAACAAACAAACAAAGAGCCACTTGTTATGGGAGGCACTTAGGAACTGCTTTTGCTGAAAAAAGCCTTGATGATTTAGCTCTTCTCTTGGCCTACAAGGTAACTGTACTGGCTGCTTTTATGTCAAGTTGACACAAGCTAGAGTCATCAGAGAGGAAGGAGCCTCAGTTGAGGAAATGCCTCCATAAAACCTAGCTGTAAGGCGTTTTCTCAATTAGTGATCAATGGGGGAGGGTTCAGCCTAGGATGGGTGGTGTCATCACTGGGCAGGTAGTCCTGGATTTTATAAGAAAGCAGGCTGAGCAAGCCGTGTGAAACAAGCCAGTAAGCAGCGCCCTTGCATGTCCATTGCATCAGCTCCTGCTTCCAGGTTCCTGCCTTGCTTAAGTTCCTGTCCTGAGGAACAGTGATGTGGAAGTATGAACTTAATAAACAGTTTCCTCTCCAACTTGCTTTTTGGTCATGGTGTTTCATCGAAGCAATAGAAACCCCAACTAAGACAGTAATTAAATATGAGATACCCAGCCTTCAGCTTGCATCTTTCTCCTTTAGGCATTTACTGCCAGCTTCCAGTGTCCTGTTCTAGGCCCCCAAAAGACTCCTTTGGGTGCCCAGTGATTGTCCTAGACCTGCAGCCACCATGGACTCCAGGAACAGTAAAATTTTGCAGACATGTCACCCTAAGCAGAGGATAATCTTATGGAAGTAGATTGTGTCTTCTAGATACAAAGATTTCTTCAAAGCGTCCTGTAGAACCAGTCAGTGGTCAACCAGACCAGTTTACCTAGATGGTTTAGTGCTTCATGGCTTTTATTCCCTGACTGATTCTTAGTGTAAAGCTACTGTAGGCATTTGGAAGATGGACTTGAAGTCACTGAACATTGTTTCCGTTAAAACACTGGTTGAATCTTCTTTATCTGCCCTTTACCACCAACCATCTCTTTAATAGGCACACTGATGGGGTAGAATATTATTTTAAGGTGTGTGACTTTTGTTTATGTTGCATTTGTTTAACTCTGTGAAGCTGTGTTACTGTGCTTGTCTAAAACACCTGGTGGTCCTAATAAAGAGCTGACCAGCCAATAGCCAGGCAGAACTAGGATAGGCAGGGCTGGCAGGCAGAGAAAATAAATAGAAGGGAGAAGATGGGGAGGAAAAGAGAACAGCAGAAGAGGGTGTCAGGGGCCAGCCACCCAGCCACCCAGCCACCCAGCCATGGAGTAAGAAGGAAAGTAAGATATACAGAAGTAAAAAAGATAAAAGCCCGAGGGAAAAGATAGATGGGATAATTTAAGATAAGAAAAGCTGTCTAGAAACATGCCAGGCCGGGCACTCATAACAAAGAATAAGCCTCCATGTGTGATATACTTGGGAGTTGAGAACTGGATGGTGGGTCTCCCAAAAGAGCAAAAAGACCAGAGAGTAAAAGCAATAAAGCTTCACACAACACGCTGGGATGAATGACTGAGCTTTATTAGCTGGGACTCCTGGGGCTGAGAGCTTTTTGCTCATAACATATTCACACTCATATCACCCTCACCATCATAGTTGTCCTTCTGTGTCT